AGCAGCCTTCGTTGATTACATTATTTTACAAGTTTTGAATTTCTTCTAAAGGAGCTAGCAAGAACACGTCTGCCTTCGGCAAAGGCCAGGTTACCCTTCCAGCAAATGTGATTATTAATGAACATACTATTGACCAAGTAAAGTATACAAAATTTTTGGGAATATACATTGATGAAGAACTCTCTTGGAAGTACCATATTAAACATATTGCTAGTAAAATTTCTAAGATGACCAGCATAATGGCCAAGGCAAGACATCACTTAACCTCTAAAACATTGCTAACTTTATATCAAACTGTGATTTACCCCCACTTGTATTATTGTAGCAACATTTGGGTAAGTACTTATCCCACAAGACTTCTCTCTATTTTCAAGACACAGAAGAAAATTGTAAGGATTATGACCTTCTCAAATTATAATGATGATACAAGACCTTTTTTTGAGTCCTTAAAAATACTAAACATTCATCAATTAAACACATACCTGACAGCCGTTTTCATGTATTCATATTACCACCACAAGCTTCCAGCATTCTTTAATAACTTTTCTATTACCAATGATGCCTTACACTCTCATAATACACAATCAGTGTCCCAGATATGTATTGAATTTTATAGAACAAATTATGGTTAATTTTCTATAAGATATAGGGGAGCTATTGTATGGAACAGTCTACCGAGTGAGACTACAAACATAAATTTTTACAATCTTTTCAAAAAATCGTTAAAATTATATGTTCAAAAAAAAAATGATACCTAATATAATTTTGTACTTGAGTATTTATCAGTATATCGAGAATGTAAAATATGTAGATGCAAATCTCTGATCCATTCTCGAGAAAGACATTTATATCCGCCTTCTTTAATTAGTAAATTATTTAGAATAATACTATAATTTAGTGGGGATCTTTAAAAAAGCTCAGTAAAGCTTGCTAGATCTCCTGCCATATCTTGTATATCATGTAGAATGTATTGTGATGTAATGAACTATTGAAGGTGAATAAAGGATTGTTCTATTCTATTCTATTCTATTCTAAAGTACTTAACTTTGTTTCCTTGCTTGAACGAGTTCAAGATTTAATGTTACAGACTAAGAGGGCAAGTCACAGCTAGCATCGCTTTTACCCTCTTGTGATCCAGGAAAACAAGGTTATGTACGTTTACTGAATAGGGTGTGACAATTACACAATCCTACTTTCTATTGTAATGAAATTACCTGACTGTCTCGTGATTCTTTCACAACTCCAAGGTAGCAAATGACGGTAATACGAATGCAGTAATCTACCCACCTTTACCCTCTAAAGACTACACATGTCATGTCAATACCTGATACAAACTGAATGTATAAACGAGATGGCATAAAAACTTTTATTTGCATGGAAATAAATTTTGATTGATTTTTAGGTAACAAATTTCAATTGTTATAACTATATAGACAACAACAATAGCTACTCGGAAAACAAAATAAATAAATAAGTAAGTGAATGAATAAATAAATAAATATAAGTGAAAACGAAAGAAAATGCAATGCTACTGAGTAAATTAAAGCTAAAACAATGGCTTTCCTACACAAGGCTATCAAGTTATCTATTATATTAATGTATTAATCAAAACTATAGCAAAATTTTCAAACGTGATTGCCTATCAGCAGCCCGATTTGAGCATTAATTGGACAGTGTACGCATCACGCTTGTAATTGGACAGTACGTGTCATTTTGCATGCGCTGTTGCAGTGCACTTTGTTGAGGAAACTGCTGTGTTTTTCAGCATTCATAAAGACGTAATCGTTCAGCGATCAATGGTCATCAATCGATGGTTTGTTCGTTTCTTGAATTTTGTCATAGTTTTGATTAATTGGTAACAGGATATCGTGTCGTCCAATTCAGTCTGTAATCATACTCGTGATTAACAAATCGGACTCCCGCTTTGTGGTCGTCCGATTTTGTTAATTACCTCTATGATTACAGACTGAATTGGACTCCACCCAGTCCTATTACCATTATTAGTTAACTTTCCAACTTTTGAAAATGCTAAGGAACTTGTTTTTTTCCCTGGCAATATGGAGCTCAATATTGTATACATGCCTTTTTCTTGCTATAAAGCTCCTTAGTGTATTTAAGCTATTCAGGCATCTACAGTAGATATAATATTAACCTAATATTAAAATGTGATTAAGTAAAATAAAGTCATTTGCAATATCAAATTTTCCAAAGATGAAATCCAACTCATTGATTGTCCCAACAAGAAAATCATTATCTCTTAGTGAGGACAAGACACGTTTCCAAAAATCTGAAGATGTCCTACAGGGGAAAAGTAAATGCTCGATGGATTCTGTAACCACACCGTGGAGATGTGGTAAGATTTAGTTTTGAAAAAATATTCCAACTTGCGAGTATTCTTGCGATTATAAGTAAGCTTAAAAGGTTTTCACTGTGTATGTAAGTTATGTTTAATTTTATACATCCAAGATCGACTGTGTTGTTAGTCTGTTGACAACCCTCTGGTCCTCTAAAATGTAGTACTTTCATTTATACAGGCCACGAACTGTCTTGTCCTATAGATAACTTTGTACATATTCCAGTCATGATAAGCCCTATTAAGCTCAGTCACCCCAAAATGCAGACTGAGCAGACAGTGCAGACTGAGTACTTTTTTTTCTTATTCTGGCTTTTGCATTTACTTTTGACTCGCATATTTTTTTGTTCTGTTCAATTATATATCTGAGTGTTTGTTATCCACAGGCCACGCAAACTCGGTGACTGTTGATGTGTTACAGGTTTTGCAAGGGAAACTCCCTTTAGTCCTAAATATACTTAAGTAAAGCTATTTTAAAATGTAGAAATAAACTTCACTTGTATTATAATGTCACATGAAACATGTGCATTTTCTACTCTTGGTGTACAAAATGTAATTCCAAATGGCTGTTGGAGTGGGACTGCCATCTTGCCAAAAAAGCCTAGTGTGTGGAAAGATCACAGAAAACCGAATAGCATTTGAAATTCGCAGCAAAGTACGGTTGCCATGATGAGTTGATGCGATTGTTAATTTATCTGTCATTATGGCATGTTATGAACAGTTCTACTTTCATTGGGTGATCTATGAACATGAACACAAACAGCCTGTGATGTATCAAGAATGCATGACTTTGAACAATGCGTG